AGGGTGCACAGGCACGTGTTCAAAAAGTTGAAGGAAGGGATGAGCATTGTCACATGGGAAGAGGGTGAGAGAGCAGGCAGAGAGGAAGTCTTCTTGTCCAGAATCAGGCAGGCCAGATCAAGAGGCACACAGGCAGTCTTCAGGAGATTTATGGACCCCCTAAAATTATAAGGACAATCCACATGTTTGGTTTTTTCCCAGGGAAATGGTCCTCAGCTTTCATCAGATACTCAAAGGGGTAGGTGACCCAAAGGATTAGAGACTACTGGGCTGCAAGGAGACTGTCTCTCCTTTGATGAATCCTTGAAGACTTGTTGCACAAAGCGCAATTTCAGGAGCCGTTGGAATACTGGAGGAAAGGGTGTCAGTGGGCGGCTGTCTTGTCTCCTAGAATCACAGCATGTTGGAGGTTGGAGGGGCTTTGAAGTGTTCCCATCCAGTCTCTTTGCTTGACATCAAGGAGGCTGGAATGACTCATCACTGTTTGCTCCTGTGAGTCAGCTCTTCCCCGGAAAGGTCAGACCAGCCACCCCTAGATTTACAATTGCTGAGGGGTGAGTTCCCAATCATCACAGGTGCCAGCCTCCCAGACCACCCCCACGATATGGACAATCATCCCCTTTCTGTTTCTCTCATCCCTTAATTGGCCACATCTTCCCAGCCCTTCCACCATGCCCTCTGGACCTCATGGTCCATCACTGGCAACCTGTTCTCTGAGTGTTCTTTTCATCTTCCTTTAATTGCAACACAGCTGTCTCCTGAGGACATTGTTTCTTGCATGGCTGTCTCAAGTGGTGTCTGCTTTTTCTCCCATTACACTGTATTCTGTGGGGCCTGGAGGTGGGGTCTGTGTCTTCCTTGCTCCCCATTACCACTTCCAAACTGCCTCTCTTCCTTTATCCTTCGGAAGCTCCAGCCCCTTTGAAGCGCATGTCATCAGATATTACCACCCTTTCCTCTTCTTGATGCTGTTGGCTGCTGACTGCCTACTCACTCCTCACATTCCTTGATGCACCTGCCTCTCACTATACACTCCCTCTCACCATTCCTGGCTTCAGCATCTCTATAGATCAGTGGTTCTCAGCAGAGATGGTACCATCCCCTAGGGGGCATTTTGGAAATGTATGAGACTTTTTATTTGTTTTCTAATGTAGTTATGCTCTAGCATTTATATTGTCTTGTTATAAATAGACTTCCCCTTTGTTTTTCTTTACATTATTTGTTAGGGCATTATATTAATTTTTTTTCAAAAAGAAGCCATAGTGACTTATATTGTCCTATGAATTTCATTTCAGGATAGGAAAATGGATATTAAAATATATCTGTTATAAAAATGGGGCATTTGGTCTAATAGTATTGAGGATGGCTGCTGCAGATAATCTATCCAACTCCCTGGCCACCTCAGCCCCATTCAAGTGGTCACCCTCAGACATCATCATCACCCAGAACCACACCACTTCCAAAATGTGGATTTAACCATCCCACTCTCTGACCATCACCTCCATCCTTATAGCTCACTGACCCTCGCAATTCTCCAACTTCATAGAGACCCCTTGGCAGTGACCCTATAGCTTTCCATTTTCCATTCTTATTCTCCCTTGTCCCTTTTGTTCCCTCACTTCCCTCCTCACCAGCCTAGACTCCTTTTGTCAGCGTGATAACCGCTCCCTTTCAAACATCCATAATTCTTGTGTCCCACTCTCTCTCCTGTCTAACTTACCTGTAAAAACATTCTACACTAATTAAACCCAACTTCCTTCTTACTCCACAGATGCCCCTAGCAAGCAGTTGAAGGTGTGGAGAAAAATCACATAACCAGTGCCTAGACTCAATTCAAATTTATGGCCACAAATCTCAAATGGGCACTCAACACGAAAGACAATGCTACCACATCTCCCTTGTAAATTCCCTCTCCTAATTTCCAAGATACTTATTTCCCACCTTCTCTTCTCTCCACGAATCTTCAACACTACCTGCCTCTCCCTTCCACCTTAGCTGATGACTTCATGGAAGAAAAAGATGCTCTGGGATGAGAACTACCTCATTTTCCTACTGTCACTTCTGCCATCCTACTCCACCTGTGCCCACCAAGCCAATGGTCACTCCTCATTTCATTGAGCTGACCTCTCAACAGCATTTTAAAAAGTTACACGCAGGGCCGGCCCACTGGCGCAGTGGTTAAGTTTGGCGTGCTCTGCTTTGGTGGCCCAGGTTTGCAGGTTTGGATCCCAGCGGCAGACCTACACCACTCATCAAGCCATGCTGTGACAGCGTCCCACATACAAAATAGATGGGAATGGATGTTAGCTCAGGGACAATCTTCCTCAAGCAAAAAGAGGAAGAATGGCAACAGTGTTAGCTCAGGGCCAATTTTCCTCACCAAAAAAACCCCACAAAAAACCTTACAGGGTCCCCTTCTTGAAACATGCCCTTCTCTAGACTTCTGGGTCTCCACACTTGCTGATCTTGCTTCTATACCATTTATTGCTCCTTCAGAGCCTCGTTTGCTGGTTCTGCCTCCACCAAAACGCCACCAAACCTTTATACATCAGAAGCTCCACGGCCCTCTCATTGGCCCTCTTCTCTCACCTGTCTACCCTCCCTCCCCAGGATATCTGGGGGCATTCCTTTTCTTTTTCCTTTTTTTTTTTGTGAGGAGGACCAGCCCTGAGCTAACATCCAATGCCCATCCTCCTCTTTTTTTGCTGAGGAAGACTGACCCTGGGCTAACATCCATGCCCATCTTCCTCTACTTTATATGGGATGCCGCCACAGCATGGCTTAACAAGCAATGTGTCGGTGAATGCCCAGGATCCGAACTGGTGAACCCCGGGCTGCCGCAGCAGAGCCCACACACTTAACCGCTTGCGCCACCAGCCTGGTGGGGCCATTCCTAAGGCTTCACATTCCATCTCTACACTGATGACTTCTATCTCCAGGTCAGATCTCTTCCTAAACTTACGACCCCTATGTCTGACTGCCTACCTGGCCCTGCCAGTGAGATTTCTATCAGACATCTTCAGTTTACCATGACCAAAATATAACTATTAATCTCTGTGGTAGGCTGAAAAACAGCCCCAAAGACATCCAGGTCCTAATCTTTGGAGACTGTTAATGTTACCTTATATGGCAAAAGGGACTTTGCAGATGTGACTAATTTGAGGATCTTGAAATAGGGAGATTATCCCGGATTATTCAGGTGGGCCCATTGTCGTCACAAATGTTCTTATGGGAGGGAGGCGGAGGGAGATTTGATGACAGAAGATTTGATGATAGTAGGAGATATGACATTGGAAGAAAGGGGTGGAGTGATGCAAGGAAGAAGCAAGGAATGCAGATCACTTCTAGAGGCTGAAAAAGGCAAGGAAATGGATCCTCCCCTCAAAGCCAGCAGAAAGAACCAGCCCTGCTGACACCTTCACTTTAGCCCAGGGAGACTGATGTTAGAGAATACATTTGTGGTGTTTTAAGCCACTACATGTGTGTCACTTGTTACAGCCCCAACCACACAAATCCACACCCCCTACACATGATGTGGAGGCGTGCCCTCCACATCTCGGTCAACGGCACCACTACTCTTCTAACTGCCGAGGCCAAAAGCCTCAGAGTGGTCCAGACTTTTCTCTTGACTCACACCTCACCTGTGAGCAAGTGTGTCGACTCTACCTCCAACTTGCATCCTGATGCCAATGATTTCTCACTGTCACCTCTGCTATCACCCTAGTGGGGGCCACCGTCCTCTCCAACGTGAATCACCACATCACGTCTGCTCCTACTCTTGTCAATCTTCAGTTTATTGTTTCACAGGAGCCAGAATGAACTTTCTGAAGGGTAAATCAGATCACACCATTCCCTCTGTTAAACCCTTCATTGGCTTCCCATTATACTCAGGATAAAATATAAACCCCTCACCACGGCCCTCAAGGCCCTATCACAGATGGGCCTCTGCCCACCTTATCTCCCGGCACTGCCCCGCTCATTCACTGCCCCGCTCATTCACTGCACTCTGGCAGCACTGAACTTCTTTCTGGCCCTCGTGCATTCCGTTCCCACCTCCTGGCCTTTGCACTTGCTGTTCCTACCTCTCTTTCTAGATCTTGGCATGGACCCCACCTCATCATTTAAGTCTCAACTCAAATATCGCTTCCCACTAAAAGGCCTTTTCCATCACCTGCTCGTTAAAACAGGACCCTCAACACCTGCAGCCAATGGCTATTTAATCCTATTTTGTCTTCCATATAGCATTTGTCAGCTCCCGAAATAGTCTTCTTGGCTTGTTTACACGTCTCCTGTGTGTCTCTGCACTAGAATGTAAGCTCTCTGAGGGCAGGACTCTGCCTCTCCTGCTCACTGCACTATCCCTAGTGTAGGCACGCAATTAATAGTATTTGCTTGGTTGTCTGATGTGGCTTATCTCTGACTCTACACCGCCTCTGGCCAATATAACTGCGTCAAAGTTCTCTCTCCCAGGGTGTGTGTATTTCAGCGGCACTGGGCTATGCGTGCAAAGAGTTAACCAGTGGAATTTCAGACATCATTCAGCAGGTATGGAAAGACCACAGGGTTTCTTTTGTGGTGCATTTGAAAGCACACAATTCATTCAACATCTGCTAAGTACCAGGTACCATGGATACATGACAGAGTGAGAAGAAGATATTTATATTATGCCTCAACGGACGATGAATTTGGAGTTTGTCAAGCCAAGAAGTGGGCAGGATGGAGTAGAGGTAGGCAAAGGCATTGCATGTAGGTGCTCAACTATGTCTGGAACTCGGTGTGGCGGCTTCCACCTTCTCCCTCCTGAAGGCTGGTTGAATCTAGGAATGTAGGGATGGCAACCATGCAGCTCAGAGCTGAAAGGTAGGTTTGAAAAGAACAAATCAACCTGATATAAATCCAGCTTACCCAACGCCTATATTCATTTACAGATAAAGGGAGACTGGTTTCTTCTGGCTTTCTCTTACTTGGCCTTTGCTCTTCTCTTCTTCCTGCTGCCTCAGGTCTCATCATCCACGAGGGACCCTCCGTGTACCGCATCTTTAAACGGTGGCAGGCTGTCAACCAGCAGTGGAAAGTGCTGAACTATGACAAGTCGAAAGACCTGGAGGATCAAAAGTCAGGAGGCAGGACAAACCCCCGGACCTCCTCATCCACCCAGGCCAATGCCCCTGCCTCAGAAGAGGAGGCCGCAGGCACCCCTGCCCCTGAGGAAGGCCCTGCCCGGGCAGCCAGCCACCCCTCAGGCCCTCTGTCCGATCACCACTGTGCTTACACCATCCTGCACATCTTGAGTCACTTAAGACCTCATGAACAGCGGAGCCCCCAGGGCGGCAGCCGAGAGCTCGTCATGAGGGTCACGACAGTGTGAGAGGAGAGACCTGGAGGGGAGGCCGTGACCACACAGGACAGGGAGGGGAGGCCAGGCCGGGGCCAACGGGGCGAGGTCTGGGGAGCAGGTGCGGGGAGGCAAGGTGGCACCCAGGTGCCAGAGCAGAGGGCAGGCAGAGGGTGGTGGGCCTTGAGGGGTCTGGGGACGGGATCGGAGCTGGAGTGAGTGAGGCTGGTGCCATGGGTGGTTCTGTGATTTCCAATTAATACCATTTCCAGTCAATACCATTCTCCAACGAGAGCAAGGAAAACCAACACAAACTTAACAACGAAGTGTAATACAAACTAACCAAACACAACGACAAAAACACCCAGATGTACCCATGCCCTAAACACCTGGGAGGGCGAAGCCGGCGCGTCTGTTTGTGGTGCCCACGTGTGCACCTGTGGAGGGAGAAACAGTCCCAAGGAAAAGCACCTGTTGCCTGCTCTGTTCTAAACTTGAGTTTGCTTCTGTTTCTCCCTGGGCCGTGAGCCTCGGGCAGTGGCGGGGAGGGAGAGGGCGGGTGTGGGCTGGCGGGATGACACACAGTTCTTGCGCCCCTGGGCTCACCTGGATGGACAGGATTCCTGACTCCCATGCTTTAGGGACCCAGGGCAGGTGGTGTGGGAGGGAGGTGTTGGTGTGAGTGGCCAGAGGGAGGGGGAATTTCTCCTCCCTTCCAAACCTTCCAAACCGAAACTCCCAATTTCAGGTGGGCTCAAAGAGGGCTGAGATTTGGAGGTAGGTGTCTTTCTGTGCCCTTATTACTTTATTTTATGGTGATTTGGCTCAAAGATGTTTACAGGAAACACACACACACACAACTAGAGAAAACTGCAGGTTTCCATGAGTGTCTCGAGCACAGTCCTGCTGCTGTGGCTTCAGCCTCCAAAGCTGTCAATACAGGAGCGACTTTCCCAACTACTCAACCCTACCCATGGTCAGGACAGCTCAGTGCCATGCTCCCTCCTGCCTTGGCGCAGGCCGAGACCCAGGACCCCCCACCGCCACCTCCCGCCAGGGTGTCCCAGGAGGAAGTTGGGGGGATGTGCCCCAAGGAGTGGAGTGGAGATCAGTCTCAGTATTCCTGGCTACTCGAGATCCCCCCTGAGGGCAGTTTGGCTATCCCTCAGTGCTCCTCTCGTGCAGCTAGATGGGCCCAGGGACCCTGGCTGGGAGCAGTGTCCCTCGAGCCCACCTGCTGGTTCCGGGGACCCTGCCAGGAAAGGCCACTTGGTGGTCACCTGCAGAGTTTCTCGTCATTGCACAAAGGCCGCATCATCCGTGGGTATTAAAGGGACACTGTCAAGTACTTTTTTAAACTAGTTTTTAGGGTTTTTTTAAAACTCTCTGTTGTTTGTATTATTCTCTTAAAAGCTTGAAAATAAAATTTCTTTCCCTACCACGAGTGTCCTTTTCCATACGTGAGTTTTTCCTTCCTCTGTCCTGTTCTCCCTCTCCCTTGTGTCTGCTCACCGCTAGAGTCGCCTCCCCAGCAGGAAGTCATTTCTCCTTTGAGGGTACAGATGGGGCAGGGCAGGTGTGTGTGTATGTGTGTGTGTGTGCGTGTGCGTGAACCTGCGGTGAAGCGCTGGGACTCCTGGTCTCTTCTTGGCTTCCAAGCAGATGGATTCCTTCAAGGCAAAAAGAGGAACAACTCCCAAACTCTCCCCAGGTTTCTGCCCAGGAATCTAGAAGCAGAGACTTTAGTGCTAGGAGGAAATTTGCAGAGCTCCACCCCATGAGGTCATTTCAGAGAAGATGAGAACCATGGGAGAGGGGCATGTTAGGACCTTGTTCCCCTGATGGTTTTCCTTTAATATCAGAAAACAGTCCCCAGGGCAGGGCCTTGAGAGAGGGCTTGGGCATATCACTAGGCAGCAGACACGACCTTTATTCTCTTCACCTGGACCTGGCCCCCCTTCCTCAGGCCAGCAGTCGGTCAGGCAATGTCACCAGTGGGATGTTCACAGGCTTAGCAAGGTTCCTCCCCTGATGAAGCTCACAATCCAGTGGGTCAGAAAAGACATAATAATTGGTGAGACCAGAGGACACATGCAAGGAAAACAGGTGAAAACCAACAAAACTGTACAAGTGATTCATGTGGAGTAAACGTGTCTGTTTTTCCATGTGGTCTACGAATGGGCCACTCAGTTTAATCAAATATTTATGGAAAATATAGATGCATTACATGGACTATATTTTTTCAAAAAAGTATTAGAATGCAACAAAATATGCATATCATCAAAACTATATGGCTATCATGTCGTCTTTCTTTGGTGAATCACAGGGCACTTCAGAATCTCGTGGTCATTCAGGGTCATCATTCAGAATAGGCTGTACTGAAGAAGAGGTGATTAATGAATAATTCTAACAGAACACTGCGATTTGTTGGATCTCAATGATGGAAGCTCCAAGAGAGCAAGGACCTCATCTGTCTTGTTTACTGCTGTATACCCAGGACCTACAGTGGTGCCTGGCACACCACAGGTGCTCAGCAAATATTTTTGAATGAATAAGATGCTCCTGGAAGAGGATGGGCATACCTTCAGCATGCAGAAGACATGCCTACTTCTCCTTCAATTTACCCTCCAGCTCTCAAGGTTAATCATAGAGTAGAAAAGAAAGGCCAACTTTTGACTTCTCCACCCAACAGGATGGTCAATTCCCTGTGCCTTAGGGAACGGAGCCTATGGGTGCAAAAAGGAATGAATTGGGTTTTTATATTTTATGTGCATCTCTGGGGAGCGGGGTAGAAGCGCACCCTAACAACCGGAGACCACTGTCCTCTTCCAAATGTGCAAACCAGCCTTCGTACCACCAGGCAAATGTCCAGATTTCCTGTGGCGTTATCTAATGCTGAGCGATGAGAAGGAAGCCAGAGAATTCACTTGTACGTCATCCACAAGTTTGGCCCATGCACGAGACAAGACACTAGTTAACACCTAAAGCTCTTAGTATGTGCCAGGCACCAAATTAAATACTTTACGTGTATCACTTAGTATCCCAACAATTGATGAAGTAGCTACCATTATTATTTTCATTTTACAGATGTAGACACTGAGGCAAAGAGATTAAGTACTAGCACATAACCACCAGCCAGGATTCCATCCCAGGCAATAGGCTTTGATCCTAACCTATCCACTCCACTGCTGCAGGACAACTGGCACCAATTTAAGGGAAATCTGGGTCACTCAATGCAGGGTGGTCATCATGCTAGCGCCCTAGAAAAATGTTGAAGGTTGGGGAAATTTGGACTAAATAACTATGAACTATTTCTATCCTCTTCAAAAAAAACCTGAGTGTACCTAACAATGAATTTTTGACGTTGTCTAGGTAATAACCTGGCTGAATGGAAGCCTGTATAATAGAAAGTTGGCTATACCCGGACACTAGAGAATTCTGAAAGGACAATGGACATAATTCAACCACATTTTTATGGACAAAGGGCCAGAATCCATAAGGGATCACAGGGTCCTCTCCTTCTAGAAAAAAAAAGTAAAAAATTATCCTATTTGGGGACGAGAATTTTGGCCCCAGTTCCAAGTGAGGGGTGCAGAGTGGCACATTGAGGACTCTAATCACAGCCCACAAAATTTAGAAGGATCCCAAAATTAGAAGGTGAGGCCTTATCCCCACCTATCAAGAGAATCAAATCTGTCACTATCTTGGAGCACAGAACCACCAAAATCATGGAATTGTTTAGCCTCTATAAGATAATTTATTGCTATTTCATGGTTTTGTCCATGAGATTCAAAACATATAGCAGAAGGTGGGTTTGGATACAACAGTAACCAATTTCTAATGTGCTTTGTAAGCAGAATTCATTATATTGTGGAGATGGCGGGGAGAAAGGGGAAACACATTTTGCATTATTCCTTATCACCTTTTCTGAAATTATCCAATTTATTCATTAGTAATAAGCAATCAAGGATGATCTTCACCTATAAGGATCTGACCCTACAGCAACGATGCAAGGGTCCTAAACCTTCTCCCCACACATCTGGACCCACCCTTATGGCAGAATGGCATTGGGAACTGGGAAGAGTTTGGGGTGCCCTGGAAAATGGGGTGACACTCCAAGATGACTCTAAGTGGTGAAGATCTAGGACTGGCCTCACCCCAGATTTGAGCCCAGGGTCTAGCCTGCATTGTGTCGGAGGACAGCTGGTTAGCTAAGTCCCCACTTGCCCCACCACAGGGGACCATTGGTCCTTCCTCATGCTGCCTCTTCCTCCCTCTGGCATATCCCATCTACTTCTCACCCAGGCCATCACGGAAACAGGAATGCACTGGGTGAAGGCTTTCTTCATGCCCAAGCCTCAATCCGGTAAGAACTACAGCCCTCAGTGTCCTCCTGACCCCCGGCCACTGGTCGCTGAGGTGAGTCCCTCCTCTTTAAGTGAGTGACCCATACCATGTACCAAGACACCTCACCATCACACTCAATTCTGACCCAATGGCTCAGTAGATGTTTAAGGAAGAGAAAGAGCCATGGTCAGGGGGGTTTTGGGAAGAAAAGAGAAGCAGGCTCATCCTGTGCCTGTACCCTTTTAACGTTTGAGAGGGAAAAGTCCTGGAAACAGAGCAGCCTCAGTGCTTCTGGTGCTGGCTGAAGTCTGGTGCTCTGCCGTCCCTCTAAGGCCCCGCGAACAGGAGAGGCGCAGTAGCTGGGACAGTGGTCAGCACGGCCCAGAGCACCCCCAGGGCGTCCACATTCCCGAGGAGCCCTCTCTGATGGAGAGGGGATAGTCTGCTCTGCATCTGTTAAATAAGAAAGTGGATACTCAAGCTCTGCCCCTAATGACACTGTCCTTTCCCCAACCACTTTGGGGAAATAATAAAAATAGCTAAACATGGAGCACTTTCCAGATGCGAAAACTCTTCTCCAACTTTTTATGTATATTAACTCATTTAATTCCCAAAAACAACCCCACAAGGTTGGGAACTGCTATTATTCCCATTTTTCAGGTGAGGAAACCAAAGCATGGAGAGGTAAGCACGTTGCCCAAGGTCATGGAGTCAAACATGGCAGCACAAGAATCTATACCACATCAGTCTGGTGCCATATGTTGGGCTGTTAACCACTACATTATACGGCCTCTCAGAAAAGTGGA